CACAAGCACAAACACAAGCACAACACCAAACACACAACCACAAACGCAACCACAAGCACAAACTAAACCACAACAACAACGAGAACCACACGCATAGCAACACAACAAGCACCACCACAAACACAACCACAAACACAAGCACCAACACACACAATCACAAACACAACCGCAAGCACAAACACAAACACGCGCACAAACACAAGCACACTCACACACATACACACACACTAGCACACGCACGCACAAACACCAGCACACCAACAACACTATCGATCACAACCACACGCACCACCACAAACAAACAACCACAACCACAAACACAACCACAAACACAAGCATACACAGCCACAAACACAATCACACTGACAAACACAATCACAAACACACTCGCACGCACAAACACACGCACACATTCCAGCCTGGACACAAGCACAACCACAAACACAAAAGACAAACACAAGCACAAACACAACCACAAACACAAACGCAAACACAAACCCAAACACAACCACACGCACAACCACAAACCTAATACAAGCACAGTCACAAGCACGCAGCCACACACAACCACAAACACAACCACAGCCACAACCACACACACGCACAAACAAACAGACACGCAACCAAACGCGCACACACAAACACAAATACGATCACAAACCCAACCGCACACACAATCACAATCAACCACAAACGCACATAACCACAAACATACACAACCACAACCACAAACGCGCGCACACAAACACAATCACAAAACACACAAGCACAAACACAAGCGCAAGCACAACCACAAACACACAAACATAAACACACACAACCACAGCCACACTCACACATAATCAAACAACCGCACACACTCGCAAACACAACCACACACACAAACACAAGCACAAGCAACACCACAATCACAAACCCCGACACAATCACAAACATAAGCACAACCACCAGCACACACACAACCACACACACAAGCACACGCACACACAGTCACACACAAACACACACGAACACGAACAAACACAAGCAATACAAACACAAGCACAACCACTAGCACAAACACCCGCACATACAGGCACAAACACACATACACACAACCACAAGCACACAAACACACAAACACAGGCCCAAACACAACTACAAACGCACACAAACAAGTACACACACACGCACGCAAACACAAGCGAAACCACAACCATAAACACACAAGCACAAGCACGCACAAGCTGACATACAAACCCAAGCACAATACCACACAACCACAAGCGCAATTACAAGAACACGCGCAGACACACACAATTACACACAAAAACAAACACAACCACACACACACACATATACAAGCACAACCACACGCACACACAACCACACATACACGCATAACCACACACAAACACAAACACAAGCACGAAAGCAAGCGCAAGCACAAGCATAAGCACAAACACAACCAAACAAAAACACAAACACAACCACACACACTAACAAACACACACACACACTAACACATGCACACACAGTATCAATTATAAACACAAACACAAACACAAGAACAAGCAAGATCACAAACACAAACACAAACACAAATATAACCACAACCACCAACAACCAACCATACACAAAAACAAACATACCCGTTCAAGAACAAACGGAACCTCTACCACAAACACAAGCACACAAACAAGCACAGGCACCCGCACAACCACACGCACAAACGCAAACACAAGCACACACGAGCACAACCACAAACACAAGCACAGACACAAAAACAAACACACAAACACAAACACAACCACAACCACACACAAGCACAACCAGAAACACATACACACACAAACACAAGCACACCCGAACACACACACACACGCATCACCACACACAAACGCAAACACCAATGCGCGCACACGCACACACACAATCGCAAGCACACACAAACACACACACAAACAAACAACACACACAACCACAGCCACACACAAGCACAAACGCAAGCACAGACGCAAAGATACACAGCACACAACCACAAACACAAGCACAACCACAAGCACACAAAATCACACGCACAACAACGTACGCAAACACAAACACACGCACAAACACAAACACACACAATCACAGCCACACATACGCACGGCCACACACAAACACCAACACAATCATACACACAATAAACACAAGCTCGCACAAACACCAGCACAACCACAAGGACACACAAAATCACAAACACAGTCACACGCACAAGCACACACACAACCACACACACAAACACATACAAGCGCAAACACAAACACAAACGCAACCGCAACCACACAGTCACACACACAAGCACAAAAACAAACACACCCAAACACAACAACACTCATACACAACCACAAGCGCATACAAACACAACCACAAACACAACCACAAACACACACAACACACAATCACACACAAACACAAACGCAAACGCACAAACACAAACACAAACACAAACACACACAAACATAAACATACACAAACACAACCACGCACACATAAACACAAACACAAGCACACGCAAATACAAGCACAAACACACACAAACACAAACACACACAAAGCCACACACAAACACAAAAAACACACACACACACACATTCAAACACAAACACGCACACAAACACCAGCACAAACACAAACACACACAACCACACACAAACACACAAACGCAACCACAAACAAACAACCACACACATAAACACACCCAAACTCAAATACAAACACAACCGAACACGCAAAACACACAAACACAATTGACACACATCCACAAACACAAACACAAGCACAGTCACATCCACAGACACAATCACAAGCACAAACACAACCACAAACACCAACACAATTACAAGCACAACCATAAGCATCAGCACAGACATAAACACAAACCTAAACACACATCCAAGTAAACCAACACAAACGCACGCACATTTACAATACAAACACAGACACAAACAAAACACACAAACACACACACAAACACAAGCACAAACACAAACACAAGCGCAAACACAAACACAACCATAAACACAACCACAAGCGCAAACACAAACACGAACGCAAATACAAACACACACACAAGAACAAACACATATACACGCAAACACAAGCACGAACACAAACACAAAACACACACACACACACACTAAGAAACACAAAGAGAAACACAAGCACACTGACACACACACTAACACAAACAGAAGCACACACACGCACACACAACTCAAACACAAGCACACACACAAACACACACAACCACACATACACACAATTACAAACAGAAGCGTGCGCATACACAAACACAAACACAAAGACAAACACAACCACACACAAACACAAACACACACAAACACAAACACAACACACAAACACAAACACAAACACAAGCACAAACACAAACATAAGCACAAACACAAACACACACAAACACAAGCACAAACACAAGCACATACGCAAGGACAAACAAACAAACAAACAAACACAGACACAACCACACACAAGCACCAACACACAAACACAAACGCACAAGCACAAACACAAACACACACACATAAACACAAACACAAACACAAACGCAAACACAACCACACAAACACAAAGACACACACACAAACACAAACACACACACTTACATACACAAAATACATCCAAACACGCACACACACAAGCTCAAACACACACACACACACACGAACACACATACACTCAAACACAAACCAACAAACGCACACACACACACACACTTTGGCGTCGGATTGTACGCCAAGTTGTGCGAGGATAGCTGTGCCATAACTGCGACACGCGCGGATTTGCTGGGCCGGCGCTGGGCCTCTCTCCCCGCGCCCCTGGGCGGCTCCGCCCCCAGCGCGCCCCGCGTGCCAGGCATGGGGTGCTGGGAAGGGAGATTCGAAGGCGTGAGACAAGATATTGCGCGTTCCATCACAAAGTGACTTGGAGCTGATCTGAGGAGGAGGAGGAGGAGGAGGAGGAGGAGGAGGGAGAGGAGGAGGAGGAGGAGGAGGAGGAGGAGGAGGAGGAGGAGGAGGAGGAGGCCCGGTGAGAAACCTCCTGCCGTGATCTCCCCATAGCGCGAGGGGGTCTGGGCCCGCCGCTCCCTGCTCGGGGCGCCCTCCGGGCGCCACTGGCGCCAGCCGTGTCCTGCCCTGCCACGTGTGGGGGGGGGGTCGGATCTGAGCTGCCTGGGAAGCTTCCCGGGGGCTCTGGGCGAGAGGCCGCCCGTTCACGGCTGGTCTGGGGGGGGTCTCCATGGCCCGTCCAGGAGGGTTGTGACCCCCCCGCTTCTTGTTGCAGTGTGTGGAGCAGGCAGGCTGTAAGGCTCGCTAATGGCCCGAGTCGACTGCTTCCTAGGCCAGAAATTCAGCTCTCGGGGTGGGGGGCACCGCGAGCGCGACTCCCGGTGGCGCACTCCGCTGCACCCCACAACTGCTGGAGGCTCACTGGCGGCCCCATGTGTGTCCCAAGGTGGCTCCAAGAATGCTCCAACCCAGAGATCCGACGCTCCAAACAACTTGGAGATGCGGGTTTCTGGCGGTTTTCGGTCTGCGGCTGCTCTCGCCAGGCCTCAGGAGCGTCAACAAAGCGACTCAGGACGAGAAGCCGGCCCCAGGGAAGCGGTCCGGACCTCCGGGGCCCATGCGTCGGAAAAAATTGCAGCGGCCAGATGTCTGGTAAGACGGCCTCAGGTGGAGAGCGGATTCGAGAACTCCGCGTGGCTCTCCGAAAGCAGATGCCTGTGCAGTGTTTGGCCCTGAGACGGTACTTGAAGGGCCTGGCGATAGCCCGCCCCGCCCCGGATATGTTGACCTTGTCGGTTGTGCAGGTCGGGGGTACGCAGTACCATGGTGCGCGCGGGCATACGCGGGGCGGCCCTCCCCGCCCCCTTCCACTGGACAGCCCGGGTTAAGTATTGCCAAAAAGGGTTCAACGATCTCCTTTTTGACGACCTCCTTCTGCTTCCCCCTCAGGCATCAACCCGCTGACTGCCATGGTGGAGCCGCTGTCCGCGGTGGCGTCGCAGGCGTTGTCGTCAACGCGGTGTTGGAGGAGGAGGAGGAGGAGGAGGAGGAGGAGGAGGAGGAGGAGGAGGAGAAGGAGGAGGAGGAGGAGTTGGAGGAGGAGGACGCGGAGGAGGAGGAGGAGGAGGAGGAGGAGGAGGAGGAGGAGGAGGAGAGGGAGTAGGAGGAGGGAGGAGAAGGGAGAGGAGAAGGAGGGCGAGGGTGCGGAGGAAGAGGAGGAGACGGAACAGGAGGAGGAGGAGGAGCAGGAAGAGGAGGAAGAGGAGGAGGAGGAGCAGAGTAATCCCAAGATGCAGCAACCATGTTGCAATACGCCCACCCGTCCCAAGTCCTCCCTCACAAGCCTCTACAAGGATTCCCTGTTCATTGCGGTAAGTACCCCCTTGAAAAACGAGAACACCGTTTTGAGAATGAGCTGCCATCCATCCCTGTGGCTGTCCGGGTGTCGACGAGGCAGGACCATACAGTCCAGGCAAGTGCACAGCGAGAGCCCCGCTTGGAACAAGAGCATCCTTTAATCCGGGGAACTTTTATCTATATGCATTTTGCCAGAATGCCTCTGGAGGCTTGAGCGAGAGCTCTACTTTGAAACATATTTGCCCTCTACCGCAACAGCACATATTTGAATACCCACCATGCATAGCCAAGGAAGTATCTCACGACATTTCGATTCTGGAAAGGAGCCGCCCTTTATACGTAGTTGGATGCTTTCGCGACGAATGCGCGCGGCGCTGAGGCGAGAACCACATTGCAAAGACACCCTCCACACACCCGCGTAGCTGTTGGAAGTATTCCAAGCACATACGCGCGGCGTGATGGCGAGATACACATTTTGAACACCTTTTGTATCCATGTAGCAGCTTGAGGCTTTAAGAACGACGGCTCGCCGCGCTAAGGTGAGAACAACATTAAAAAACGGAGACCGCCCTCCACCAGTGAGGCTGTCGGATGACTTAAGACTACTGTGCGCGGCGTTAAGGCGACAGCCACGTTTTGACCCACACCTCCATACGTGTAGCTGTAGACGAATGCGCGCGGCGCTCAGGCGAGAGCCAAATGCTTCACACTTCGCGTATCCCCACCAGCCGGTTCAGAAACTTTGCCCACGAGAGCTGACGGGAAAAAGGACGAAGAACCACATATACTGAAACAAAGCGGGCAAGCAGGATGAATAGAGAGATCTCTGGGAGCAAGGGTGTGCCTTTGGATGACCTCTTCGGACCATCTCTTGGGCCCGGGGGGGGGGGGCGAGGGTAGGCGGGAGGAGGAAGAGGAGGAGGAGGTGGGGGAGGATGATACTGATGATGATGCTGCTGCTGCTGATGATGATGATGGAGGAGGAGGAGGCAAACCGCCTCTTGGGGCCTCGTGGGACGCTCTTGGAGCGCTTGGGCGCTCTTGGGGCTGTCTTGGGGCCGTCTTTGGGCACTCTTGGGGCTCTCTTTGGGGTCTCTTAGGGGTGAAAAGAGAAGGGTCCTAACGTTTGGCTCCCCCCCCCTCCCCCCCTTCTGGGGCACTCGAAGTCGCACCTTTGGGGCGCTCTTGAGGCGCTCTTGGACCGCTCTTGGGCGCTCTTGGGGCAGTCCGGGGGTCTCTTGGCCAACCTTGGGCCTCTCTTGGGCCATCTTAGGGTTATCTTGAGGCCTCAAGAGCGCATCAGAAGCGAAACGGCGAGACGGCACACAGCATTGATGCTAGTGGCCTCCAGCCAGTACCGCCGATCCGGGGTGCTACCGATTCTGCTTACAACGGGGGACCTTTTATGTTTTTAACCAAGAGCACTCGCTCGAGACATCTTCAGAAGATAGAGATGTCGAGCTCGCTTGGGCGACCGTCAAATATTCGAAAGTGACGATCTCGCGTGAACAGCCAAACTCATGGGATGCCCCCCTCCCGCCTTCCGGGCCTGAATGGCGTCAGCCATGGCGTCAGCCCCCGCCCCCCTCGACTTCTCCCTCCCGGGCTTGACTGGCGTCGGCCATGGCGTCAGGGCTCCTTCCCTCCCCCCCTCCAGATCCCCCCTCCCTGGCCTGAATGGCGTCAGGCATGACGTCAGCTCCCCCCCCCTCATCCCGACTTCCTCCTCCCGGGCCTGAATGGCGGCGGCCATGGCGTTCCCCCCCCCCCCTCTCCTGCCCATGGCGTTCCCCCCTCTCCCCCCCCTCCTCCCTCCCGGGCCTGAATGGCGTCAACCCCCCACCCCCTCCTCCCTCCCAGGCCTGGACGGCGTCAGCCCCCCCCGCCCCCCTGACAGAGCGAAGCTCCCCCCCTCCCTCCCGGGCCTGAATGGCGTCAGCCCCCCCCCCCCCTCTCCCTCCCGGGCGTGAATGGCGTCAGCCCCCCCCCCCCGCCTCGACAGAGCGAAGCCTGCCCCCCTCTTCCCCCGGGCCTGAATGGCGTCAGCCCTCCCCTCCCCTCCCCCCCTCTCCCCATGGCGTTCCCCTCCCCCCCCCTCCTCCCTCCCGGGCCTGAATGGCGTCAGCCCCCCCTCCTCCCTCCCTGGGCCTGAATGGCGTCAGCCCCCCACCCCCCGACAGAGCCCCCCCCCCCACCCTCCCTGGCCTGAAGCTTTGTGCTTGTGCGTTCAGTGAATTCCGTT